GATATTAAAATTAGTCAGAGGAAAAATTCCGTCATGGAGCAAGTGAGAAATATTTAAACCACAAGCAAATTCAGGAGGTCACCTGACCAGGTATCTATCATATTACAGCATGGTTCCATCCACCATAATCAAGTTTACCGTAATCCGTGTCTGATTGCAAAGCTGGTCTAACCCCTCGCCTGAGTGACTTCTGACTCAGAGTGATTCCTGGACAACAAAACCCAAGAGTCCCCTGTCCTGCATCTTCCTCTCAATTATGCCTATGCTTGAGCCTCCGTGTCAGTCCATCTTATTGAGAAGCTTACTCTTGCTTCACGGACCTCCTACTTTCCCAAGCATGCAGTCTTCTCCAGGGACTGGGCCTCCTTATGACAAAGTAAATGAGATGAGGTCTTGCCATCTTCCCTTTTAAGGAACATTCTAGGCCTATTTCTTTCAAGGCAGATTTGTTGATCCCGAGGGACACTCAGGGTGATTGGCCTAACATAATGTGCAAAGACCATGCTCTGCATCCTAATCTGGTGAGTAGTGGCGGGGTCCTAACCTCGGGGAACTGTCATCTATAGTGGGGCTATTGGTCTCTCCGCGTGCGGAGGAAAAGAGTGATCACGACCGAAAGACCCTTGGAAACGATTAGTCCAGAGGGACCACTCGGACATCAGTCTCTGGATCCCTGAGACCAGAAGAACTAGAGGGTGTGCACCTACCAACTGCTCTAAAAATGAACGCACGCGGGGACCCAGGATGGAGGGAGAGAAACGTGTGAACAGAACTCAACATCACGCGAGAGTCCAGGCTTGCTCATTACACAGAGACTCCTGTGTGTGATCCCTAAGACTAGAGCCCTACCTATCAAACCTGGAAAGGATCTCACCTCCTCGGTGGAATAGTCAACCACCGAAGATCAAAAGGGCAGCACTGACTCAAAGCTCAGGGGGTAAACAAAGGAAAGGCTGGGAAACAGGAAACGCAGGGAAGTCGTGAAACAAGCGACATAGAGTGATTTCAATGGATGTCCTTCTGACTCGCTCACTGCTGACTTACAGGGACCCTCTGTGGGTTTGCGAGACTAACTGCTTATCGGAGTAGAAAACCCAGTCTTTCTCCCGTGGATCTGCTGGTGGTTTTGAACTGACCCTCTGGATCTCTGTCAAAAGCTTAGCCACTACACCCACCAGCATTCCAGGTCCTTGTGACAGTCCACGGGACAGTTAATGTTCTTCATCCGTACCTGGTGGTGTAGCTGTTACACATCGGGCTGATCACTAGGCCAGCGGTTCAAAACTGGCAGCCCCTCTGCAGGAGAGCGATGGGACTTTCTCCTGCTGTAGAGCATTACACAGGTCAGTTGTACCCTGTCCTGTAGGGTCACTGTGAGTCAGCGTCAACAGTACCACACGTCATCAGTCTTCAGTCATGAGTTCTTCTTGGGTCTTCCTAATTCATTGCCAGCTTTCACATGTCCATAAGGAGATTCAAAGCGCTGGGGCAGGCACACTTGACTCTCCAACATGACATGTGTGCTCTTTAACACCTTAACCAGGTGTCTTGCAACGGATTTGCTCAGTGTCAGACGTTGCTTGATTTCCTGACAGGCAGCGCTGTGGGTGTTGGCTATGAATCGAAGTAAAATGAGGCACTTGGCAACTTGAATCTTATCTGTGTTGGAGCTCATGCTGTTGCTTATTGGTACCGTTCTAAGGATGTTTGTTTACTAGGAGCTCATTGGGCATAGTAGTTATGCCTTGGGCGGCAAGGTCTGACGTGTGAAACCACCATCTGCTCCTCGGGGGAATGAGGGGCCCTGTACAGCAAACAGTTACAGTATTTCCATCCTGTGCCGTAGAGTCACGATGAGTCGGCATCAACTTGCTGGCAGTGCGTTCGGTTTGGGTTTATAAGCTACACTGCAGGTATAAGTCTTTGATCTGTATCAGTAACTGCTTCAAGTCCTCTTTACTTCCAACATGCAAATCTGTGTCATCTGCATCGTACAGGTGGTTCCCGAGTCTTAGGAGGCTACTGGCGGGCTGATTGTGGCTCGTAGGGACCTTACAGGCCAGAGAAGTGCTCCACAGCCTTTCTGAGACTGGAGGTCTCTAGACTGCATCATCTTCCTCCCACTGGGCCACTGGCAGATCCAAACCACCCAGCTTCAGTTGACAGCCCGGCGCTTAACACACGGCACCACCAGGGCTCCTTCTTAGGAGTTCGAAGTTCAAATTCAGGCATCAGCTCTAGGGAAAGACTCTCTCTGTGTCCTCTCTGGGGGGAACGCTTATTCCAGTTTCTCCACTCCTTGCTGATCTTCACATGGTCTCTCTCTCTCTCTCTCTCTCTCTGTGCTAAGCTGCTCTTCTTATATCTCAAACTCTGCTGGATTTAAGACACACCCTACATTGATAACAGGAGTTCTGGTGGTATAGTGGTTACACGTTGGGCCCCTAACCACAAGGTTAGCAGTCCAAAACCACCAGCCACTTCCCAGGAGAAAGATGGGGTTTTCTACTCCCATGAAGAGTTAGTCTTAGAAACCCACAGGGGCGGTTCTGCCCGGTCCTATAAGGTCACTAGGAGTCAGCCTCGACGGGAGGACAGTGAGCTCTGTTTTTGAGGTTTTTTCTACACTGACATGGTCTTGTTAGCATAACCAAGAAAGCCCTATTCCCAAAGGAGATTGAAACGGGGGAGGGGGAGGAGGGAAAGGGGGCAATAGAGGTCAAGATTCCAATATAGGATCTGAAGGAACACAATTCAATCCCAAACACCTACTTGTACTTCAAGTGTGACCCAGAGAGACTGACTGGTCCAGAGGGCAGGCATGCTGGGCCCCAGGGGAGGCCTGCAGCAAGCTGAGGGTGGGAGGGTCGCCTGGAGTGGCCTGTGCTGTATAGGAACGAAGATGCCCTGCCGCCAGATCTGCCATCTGTCTGGAGACCTTTGACCTTGGTATGAAACACCCTGTTTTGAATAGCAAAGAATTGGCATAGTTTGGGTTAGATACAGATCCTGAATACATTAAAAAACTGATTACCACAGACCTTCGGGAAGTTGAATCTGAAGCTTCCCAGGAGGTGAGGGGAAATATTTCTATTTCCGTCTTCTACGGCCACCAAGTACAGGAGAAGAAGCAAAGCTTCGGGTTTCCATAAGAAGATGATCTAATCTCTCGGAATCTGCTAACGTATGTTTATTTTTGTTCTCATGACCATTAATTCATCTCTGCACAGGTCTGCCTTGTAGAAAGTGCTTTGTTCTAGTAAGCTAAAAGCTGGGATTTCTAGAGGGCCTGGGCGTTAACATATTCAGGGGTTTAAGGGTCCCGAGAGGCGCCTGCCTCACAAGAAAGGCCTGGTGACCCACTTCTGAAACACCACCAGTCGTGAACAACTCTCAGGGAGCTCAGTGCTGCTGGACACAGCGTCGCATCACCGAGAGCTGGGAGTGACGGCAGCAATGACGTCTGCACCAAACTATTCTCTTCCCCCTTGGCGGAAATCCCGCAAACACCAAGCGCCGTGTCCAAGGTGAAGTAGAGAACCTTCGAGTTCCTGAAGCCATTGCGATAGTAACGACCACAATGACTATGAACTACTGGAACGCTTTGTTTTCATTCCATGGGAAAAAGACCACCACCAAGAAGCCCCCGTCCGGCGAGAAGTCCTTCACAAGGGGATGCCCATTGGCAGACAAATGAAACCGCCCTGCCTGGCCCGCCATCGAGCCGGCGCCCACTCTGAGTGACCCTGCAGGACAGGGGAGGTTCCCAGAATCCTACGAGAGCTTTTGCATTTCCCCACACCTTCCCATCAAGCAAGCAGTCCTGGCGGGACCTCTGGGTTCGGTGCTAACCGCAAAGTCAGCCGTTAGCCCCACCAGCTGTTCCACCAGAGAAAGCCGAGGCTGTCTGCTCCCATACGCTTTATCGCTTCAGAAACCCAGCTAGGGTCGGGATTGGAATTAATTCATGGCACACTGGGTTTTTTTCTTTCCTTTCCCTTTCTCTCGAATCCATAAATATCTGTAGAAGTAAAAAGTACATAAAGAAGCCCTGGAGAGCTAAGAAACTTAGTTCCCAGAATGATAAAGGAGCGTGCTCCCTGGATTCTGGTCAGCCTTGCTCCACCCACCCCCCACCCCCCAATTCCCAGCAGCACCCCTGCCCCGAACCCTGTGGGGTCACTCACGGTCTGGAGCCAAGACTCCTTGACTGTTTATTTCCCCATCGGTGGATGTGACAGATTGAATGATGCCCCCCCCACACACACACACACACCAAAAATATATGTGTGTTAACTCCTGATCTCTGTACCTGTGGTTATCATCCTGATTGGAAATGGTCTGTCTTTGTTCCACTGATTAGGGGATCTCAAGTCAATCTCTTTGGTCATAAAGGAGATTAGTAAACAAGTAAGCAGAGGCCATACTGGGGGCGGGGGCACCATCAAGCCACTTCAAGATTATCTAGGACAGTGGTTCTCCACCTTCCTGATGCCGCAAACCCTTTAATACAGCTCCTCATGTTGTGGTGACCCCCAACCATATCATTATTTTCATTGCTGCTTCATTACTGTCATTTTGCTAGTTATGAATCGGGCGACACCTGTGAAAGGGTCCTTCGACCCCCAAAGGGGTCTCGACTCACAGGTTGAGAACCGCTGATCCAGGAGCAGCCGTTCAGAGACCAGGCCCTTCCTCCAGAGCCAACAGAGAGAGAAAGCCTGTTGTGAGGGCCAGAACCCTGACTTCAAACTTCAAGCTTTTCAAACTGCGAGGGAATAGTCTTGTCTGTCATGCCACCCAGTGGTGCTGTTTTGTGCGATGGGAGTGCTAGATAACCGAGACGGGGTGTGGCGTCAAACCAGCCCCACCTTGCCCTGGATCGAGCACACGCTGCTCCTGGTGGAAGCTGGCTGGCGACAGAAAGCAGAGAGGCTGGTGTGCCGCCTGACAGCATCACCGAATGTTCTCACCCACCAGCCGCCTCCTCGGGGTCGGCCATGATGAGGAGGGTCTTGCAGGTGGCAGCAGGACTTGGTCGCCACAGAGCCCTCGCAGTTGCCCACCCCATCTTGCCCAGACTTCACCCTGCCTCGGCTTTTGGATCCTCCACCGACACCCTGGTAAGTGTGTCCCCCACTCAGCCCGGCCAGTGGCCCTTCTCCTGGAGCCTAGGGCTGAAGGAGCACCCCAACTCTCCTCTTCCCAGCCCAGGGCCCGCCTCTGGTTAGCAGCCTCTAGCTCCCAGAGGATGCCATCAGACTTCCACTGTCTGTACAGTGGGGCTGGAGCCTGCAGTTCTCAGGAAGCTGCGATTACCACAAGGTCCCTCCGGGGTGATTCGCAGTCAGAGACTCTGGGTGTATCAGAGCAGGACTGTGTGCCACGGGGTTTGCAATGGCAGTTTGGGGGGAATACAGTACCGGGACCAGCTCCCAAAGTGCCTCTGGTGGACGGGAAACGCCAACCTTCCCATTAGTAGCCAACCATGCACCCCAACCAGGGATTCCAACCGGCTTTTCCAACAGGACAGTGGTAACCTTCAGCCCCAGTTCTTCTCTTCCCCTGGGCCATTCACCCGTAGGCATTCTCAACCCTCTACCAGGAAGATGGGCCCTTTGCCTCAGGCTAACCCCACATAGCAGTGGTTCTCAACCTTCCTCATGCCACCACTCTTCAATACAGTTGCCTCATGGTGTGGTGACCCCTCAACCATTAAATTATTTTCGTTGCTACTTCATCGCTGTAATGTTGCTATTGTTATGAATCAGGCAACCCCTGTGAAAGGGTCGTTGGACTCCCAAAGGGGTCAAGACCCACAGGTTGAGAACCGCTGCTCTAGAGGGAGGGCGTAGGGAGCTCAGGAGCAGCAGCAGTCTCACCTCCCAGAAAGCTGTCTAATCCTGGCGCGCCTCCCCAGGTCTCAAGATTCTGTCTGGAGAAGACAGACTTGAAGGACTATGCCCTCCCCAATGCTAGCTGGTGTCCAGACATGCTAAGCATGTACCAAGAACTTCTGGAGAAGTCCAAGGACAGTGGCTGGGTCAAGCTGCCCTCCTTCAAGTCCAACAGAGACCACATCAAAGGACTCAAGTTGCCGTTCGAGGTACCAGCAAGCTCAGGTAAGGCCTGCCCTGAGAGTGCCCCTACACACACACACACACACACACACACACACACACACACACACACGTGCCCCAGCCCACAAGTCAGCCGTGGCGGGACACTGCCTGGCCCCTGGCCCCAGGCCCCAGAGGTTTCATCCAGCTCTGCTTCCCCCAACAGAGTCACCCCAAGTTCCGTCTCAGCGAGAAAACTCACGAGTTCCCTTCTAGTTCCCAGCCTGCAAGCCTCTCCCCCCACCCCCACCTGCCTCCCCCTTGTCTAGCATCATCCCTCTGGCTGCAGCCTGGGTGGAGAGAGGAATGAGGCAAGTGGAGAGCGCTCTCTCTTATCTCCTCCTCTGAAGGCAGGAGCAACACCCTCCAGAGCGCCCTGCCTTGGCTCCCAGGCCTGTAGGTCCTGTCCCGGGTACAAACTGCTGACTTCTCACCAGTTTTTCTCCTGGGATTTTCAAACCAAATTCCCCTCCCAAGCCCATAAAAGCCTTGCGACACCCTGGCCTCTGTAAGCCTCTCACACCCTCCGGGTTGGGCTCTGCTAGGCCCAGAGCCGCATGGGGGTGGGGTGGGGGGTGGGGGGCGCAAAGAGTTTCCACCTTCATCCTCCTTAGCATGAGCCTGCTTCAGCGTGCACCTGCTGTGTGTGCGTGTGTGCACGTGTGCGTGCGCTCACGAACAGCCTGAGGGTTTCCAGCTGGGGCAGGAACAATTTTTTTTAAGCGATTTGGTATTTCCAAAAAAGGAATAATATAATAATAATTTGTCTTGAGGAGGGGTAGGGGGCAATCAGTGCTTCGGTGGTCTTACGTTACTGTGCAGTGTTGGTTTCTTGTGAGTTATAGGGGAATGAGTGTGGATTCCATGTGGCATGGTCAGGGATCTCCCTGAGTGTTTTTCCACAAATGGAGGGCACCCTGGGGACAAAGGCTGTCTCCAACCGGCCGGCTCTCGCAGACCCTGCCCCTGCCTCATGCCACCACGCCCACCCCTCTCTGTCTTCCCCCAGACAAAAGTGATTGGCGCATCTTCCCCAGGTGCATCTCAGAGGAGGGACAAGGCTATGAGTATGTCATCTTCTTCCACCCATCCATGAAGAAGTCTGTCTGTCTCTTCCAACCCGGCCCCTTCCTGGAAGGCGTCCCAGGGTAAGGCCACAGGTGGGGGGGGGGGGCAGGGGGTTGTCCTTGGCAGCCTTCTGGACTTGGCTCAGCAGTGTGGTGTGTGCAGGGGGCGGGGGTCCTTCTCCAGCAAGGAGTCTGGAAGAGGTGGGAGGATAGCCTTCAGTTTCAAAGGGACCTCCCCAGCCATGTGGACCACTCCCCGCTGTCCTTCCGAATGAGAGATCCGAATGTCTAGCAAGAAGGATCACTCGAGGTCACTCTGAGGAGGCTGTGGTGCATAGGAAGCAAAACACGGACGAGAGAGAGCTCAGCTGCCAGTCCTGCTCGGCCTCCACTGGCCTTCGGTGCCTAAGCAAGCAATTTAACCTCTGACCTTCTGTCTCCTTACCTGAGACCTGAGCAGTCAAATCTCCCTGCCAGGGTGACTGAGAGAGCAAGGCCACGGGCCCCTGAGGACCTGCAGACATCAGAGACCACTGGTCCAAGCCAGCAGCACAACCAGAACCGCAACCCCCACCCCCACCCCCGCCACGGTCCGTTCCCACTCACAGGGGCCCAGTGGGAGCAGGACTGCTCTTTGGGCTTCCAGGGCAGTGAGTCTTGACAGAAGTGGGTCTCATCTTCCTCCCATGGAGTGGCTGGTGGTTTCAAACCGCAGTCCTGGTGGTTAACAGCCCAACACTGAGCCCCCTGCGCCTGTGGGTGCTTTACGAGGCAAAGAAGGTGCACAGAATCACAGCAGCTTGCTCCAGAGCGCCCCAGCCGTCAAGGTCAGACCCGGGACTTGAACAGAGGCATTGAGACTCCAATCCTCGGCTCTCTCCGCTGTCCTCTGCCGTCTTCAAACTTGGGGTCGATCTAAGAAGGAACCCAGAATGGATGTCAGACACCCACAGAGAAATCAGGCCAGACCAGGGCCTCTTCGTACCGAGGCCGCCGGCAACCAAGTGTCTCACTCTCCACCCCCTTCCTGACCCAGACAATCACCAAGGGCCAAGGCTGGGGCAAGTGCTCACACGTCAGACTGTTGGCACATGGCCGGCAGTGCAAGCCACCCGCCGCTCCTCGGGAGAAAAGTGGAGCCTTCTACTCCCGTAAACAGAGTCTCAGAAACCCACAGGCGGGTCACCCTGAGTCGGCATCAACTCCATGGCAGTGCGCCTGATTTGGGTTTGGTGGCTGGTGTTGGCGTTCCTACAAGGGGCAGGGGTGAGAGGCAGGCGCAGCGCGAGGATCTCAAGGCCCAAGGTGGACTCCGTTGTAATGAAACAGAATTCAGAATTCTGAGCACCAAATAGACGTCAGCCGTCCCTGAGGGGGACGCATGGTTAAGTGCTATGGGTCACCCAAAGGTGGGAGGTTGGAGTCTACCCAGATGTGCCTCAGGATATGGGCCTGGGGTTCTGCCGGGAGACTGGCAGGTGGGACTGCCAGGTGGCAGAATCAGCTCATAGCAAGCGAGGACAACAGACTGCTCGGAAATGGTAGCACTTCTGCTGCCTGGGCATTCACACTGCTGGCCATCCTGCATCCATCCTCCATGCGGTACTCTTCTCCAAACTACTGCTTCAGATAGCTTGACTCGGGCCGCAGGTCCCCTCCCTTCTGAAGAGGAACACACCCCCCAAGAGCAGGGGAAGTGAGTCCAATTCATTTAGGGCAGTGGTTCTCAACCTTCCTATGCCGCGAGACTTTAATACAGTTCCTCATGTTGTGGTGACTCCCCAACCATAAAATTATTTTAATTTCTACTCCATCACTGTCATTTTGCTACTGTTGTGAAGCAGGTGACCCCTGTGAAAGGGTCGTTCAATCCCCAAAGGGGTTGCAACCCACAGGTTGAGGACCACTGACTTAGGAGTTCATAGAGGTGGGGCAGGAGAAGACCATCCAAGATTGAGCAGGACCCACCTTGGCCCTATGCAAAGGAGGGAAGGTAGTGACCAGCCAGACGTCACCTGGCAGGATCCACCAACTTGCCAGGGGTCCTTTGCCTGCCCAGTGAGGACAAGGAGGGAACAGCAGACCTGGATTTTGCTCCAAGTTCCCATTTTGTTGAAAAATAATCATTAGCAATGCCAGTGGCCTGTGTAAACTGGATTTAAGTTGCAAGCAGTAAGGGTTCACGACCAGACACCTCCATACTGCCCAACAGCACGTGAAGGAAAGCTCCCCCTGCTGGCTTTCCCAGGAGTGCTGAGAAACAAAAGTCCTCGTGTTGAGGACTTTCTCTCCTTGTTTTTAGGCTGGGGCGATCCGCCTAGTTATGGCCAAGAATATTTGGCTCCAGCTTCTATCATTACAGTTAACAAAAAAAGGAATAGCCTTAATTTGTTTATAAGGAAATAACTTGTAAACATGTTTGTCTGTAAATATTGTCTATAGACATACTTTTACAGAAAACATGTTGCTTTGAAACAAAGGGATTGGAGTCTCGAATTTACCTTAGATGGTTTGATGTTTCACAAGCATTTGAGATTTACAGCTTGGGGAGTTAGGAATTATTTCTTACAATTCTGTTGTTCTAAACTCTGGCCTGGTCACTTCTGCATACAGCTCAGTTGTGTACAATGTGAGGGGACAATTCTGACTCGGGACTGTGTGGGCTTTCACTTCCAGATTTGGTTTTGAGAAGGTTTCCTTAGTTGGTAAATTTTTGTTTGTTTGTTTGGTTTAAAGCAAATCTGGGATTGAGAAGTTGAAATGTGAAAATGGACTCACTTCATTGTATGCAGATTTTCTTTTTCTTTCTTTCTTTTTCTTTCTTTTTTTTTTTTGTAGCTTTGCAATAAGGGAGTCAAAGGTGGAGTCCAAGAGCTTTTGTGGGGCAAGTAGGCGGCGGGACAGGCTCCTGTGGGGCAGCTAGTCATGTGCGTTCCTTCTGTTTGACCTCATTTAAACGGAGCTCCTGAGCTCATCCTTACAGCTTTTGCTAAAAGATGTTCAGCAGTTCCTAATGGGACTTGACAGCAGTAGTTGTGTGTTAGGCTGGGTAGACAAGAGAAGCAAATCTAGTGACACTCATATGTGTAAGAAAGAGCTTTATAGCAAGACGTAATTGTGTATCAGGAAAACATCCCAGCCCAGTCCAACTCAAGCCCTTATGTCCGATTCTAGCCCTTACGTCCCTCTTCAGACTCCTGCAGCCACATGCAATGATGCAGAATGCCAGAGTGTGGGGAGAGGAGGGTCCCCCACAAATCATCACAGGTCCGGTAGGCACAGTTGTACAGCGATAATAAGTAAAGATTATCGTAAAGTCAGACAGAGCACGAGAGGTAGAGGAGAGATTGGAATAATGGAGTCAGACACAATTCATGGCTGCATGCTCACCTCAGCCCCTCTTGGTGGTCCTCGTGGGGGGAGCCCGGCCATGAGATCAGGAGAGCCTCAGGAGCGAGAGCAGGAGAGCCCCAACTTTCTTGCTAACCAAGGGCTATATCTCATTGGGGGGACATGATTACAGTTAACCACACATCACAGGAAGGGGCAGTACAATAGGCTTACACATCATAGGAAGGGGATGTATGATAGGCATAAGTGTAACAGGAAGGGGATGAGCTAGGGGTGTGCCCATAGGAATGGGAAGGTCTAGGAGTATACATGTGACAAGATGGGTGGACCCTAGATTCATGATGGCAGCCTAACCTTGGTCATCCTTGGGCGGGTCTGACCTCTCTGGGGTCTCCTACAAGGAAACAGACAACTACTATCCTTATCAGAAGGGAGTAGGCCCTACTTGTCGTGGGATAAACAGTGGTGTCTGCTTGCTCTAGATGGCCACTCCTGATGACCTCCAAGTGTATAGTCATTCTCAAGCAGCTAAGTCTGGCATATATTGGGGGGAGACAACTTGGGAGAAATCCTTCTGTTCCCCACACCGGAGGATTACAGGCTAGTAGGTGCAGAGTCTGGTGGATCCAATGGCAGTGGACGCATCTCCAGGAGTCTGGCAGGTCTCCAAGTGGCTCGCCAGCAGGAAGGTAAAGGCAGAGAGAGAGCGTGGGAGGTTTCCTCTTTATGAGAAGGCCATGCCCACAAGGAGGCACCATCAGCTTGTGACCTGATTGACAGGCTAGACTCCACCCTTACACTTTTTATATCTTCAAGTTGGCATGGAATAATGCAACTACCACAAAGTGTATAAGAAGATCCCATTAGGTGGATGAGAGAAATCGAACTCTTGCTTGTGTAAGAAACTATACAGTGATGGCTTGGAAACCAGGCTAGAGTCTAACCATGGTGCTATGATCGGGCTTGCTTGCTAAACACAGGCTAAGGCCTGGTTTGTCACTGAAACAAATGCTTGTGGTTTTAAGAAAAAGGAGAGGGGAGGAAGAGAGGCCTGTGGAGCTGAGCTTTCTGCAGGCAGCGTCCACCTGGCCAGCACGTGACAGGCTGTAAGCTCCAGGTTCACATTTACCTGTCTTGGAAACGTAGGCTCAGCACTCTCCCTACTGACTGCGAAGGTGAGAGGCAGCCCGAGGACAGGCTTCCAAGACCACGACAGCACTTTGGGGATTCTTTCTGTCCCCTGGACAAATGCAGCCTTCCCAAGAAAGGCAGTTGCTGCCAGCAGTGCTTTTTCATGAACGTCTCACAACGGAACAAAAAATCCTGACGAAATGAAGTACTTGCTAGTGCATGCTACAGCAAGACAGGAGGGCGCCTTGGGTGGAACTGAAGCTGGTTGTGACTGGTTGGACCAGGCAGGAGCCTGCGCTGAGCCTTTCTTGCTGGGCTGCCTGAGGGATCTGGAGAAAGGGTGAGGCCAGGGAGTTTCATCCCAGGAGGGGGAGCATGGCGGGGGCTCAGGGGTGGGCGGCATGTCACAAGACCAGGAGGACACCCAGTGAGCCATCAGCCAGGGCGGAAGCCCCAACCTTCCTCTCTGCTCCTCTTCTAGGTTTGCTCATGGGGGGTCCCTGGCCACCATGATAGATGAGACTTTCTCTAAAATTGCCTACCTGGCGGGAGAGGGGCTGCTCACACTCAGTCTCAACATCAAGTTCAAGAGGTACGTCCAGCTCCTCAGGCTGTCGGTCAAAGTTACGGCCCTTTTCCTCTTTGAGGGTACAGCCACCCTCCACAGTTGGGGCCCAGGAACCCTGCCTGCCATTCTCCCCTGTGGGCCATTCTCCCTCCACCGTCCTCTCTAGTCCCTGGCAGAATCCCACCTCTGCCATGGCGCTCTAGGAGCTGCCCATTTATGAGCCCTGGAGATAGGGGTGGGGTGAAGCAAGGACAGGGGTGGAGGCGGGAGATGGGGGAGCAGGGGCCTCTTGAAGGGCAGGCTCAGCGGGCTCCTCTCCCAGTCTGATCCCGGTGGGCTCCCTGGCTGTGCTGAACGTCGACGTAGAAAAGATTGAGGACCAGAAGATCCATCTCTCGTGCATCACCCAGAGCAGAGACCAGAAGACGGTGTACGCGAAGTCCTCAGGTAAAGAGATTCTTAGCCTCCACCCCGATACCCTGTCCTGCCGTTGTCCTGCCCAGAACAAACAAGGAGGGAGGAAGAAGGGCAAGCAAGGATCCAGTCCCAAATTTTTAAGTCTCGTATTTTTGTTTTGTTTTGTTTTGTTTTTAATCAGTTTCTGGCCTCCACTTTACAAGGTCAGGCTGATAACAGCTCATCACCTTCAAGTCTCGCATTTTTATGGGTGGGATTGGGGGCTTGCTATGGGCACAGGAAACATCAGAAGGAACCCAGCTAGGGTTTTTGTTTGTTTGCTTGTTTGTTTGTTTGTTTTTCTATATATGGTTCACCGGCCTGTACTGCAAGGGCAGGATCCTCACAAGGGGCAACCGGGCAAAAAGCTCAGAGCACCCCAGTAACAGCTGCTGTCCCTGCCCTGGTGCCTGTCCCTCAACTCACTCTCCTCTTGCAGCTGTTTTCTTCCAGCTGCAGCTGGAGGAGGAGTCATCCCAGTAGCTGTCACTCTGCCTGCAGGACAGCCTGTCCCTGGCCACCTGCCTGCCTGGGAGTCACCACAGCATTGGGCAGGGTCCCCAGGAAGCAACTGGTGAAGTGAAAGAGGACACTATCCTCTGAGTAAATAAAAGCGTGCAGCCCCTTTTTCTGTCCAAGACCCTCTGTCATTGGAAATCCCAAACTGCCCAGGATCTCCCACATCAACCCCAGCGGACGAGAGTGACTGGGCACCTGCTGGGCACCACCGGGTGAAGCACCAGGCGCACAGCAGTGAGAGGATGCAGCCCAGGGGAGTCAAGACCAGCGTGCCCAGAAAGCACCCACCACGCTCCTCCCACTCTTGTCCATCACGGTGCGATTGAGGTGGGGGAGGAGGAGAGGTCAACTTTAAGAGAGTGATCAGGAATGGCTTCACAGAAAGCCATTGAATGGACTCTCAGAAGTGTCATGGTGTGCACCAGTCAGCCAGGGGTGGGGAGCAAATGCCAGGCGGAGGAACAGAGAGAGGAATGGAGATGAGGGAGAGAGAAAGTAGACTTGCATGTTGCTGTGATGCTGAGAGGGTCTCAGAGAGCTTCCAGGCTAAGGCTAGAGAGCCTTAGTGATTCCGCTTCCAAAATTCAGCCCATGGTTCCACCCAAAGTAATCTTGGGAGTGGTGCAGGCCCGGACAGCATTTTGTTCGGTCTCACATCACTGTGAGCAGGCAGCTGCCCCCAGCGAGAAGAGTGAGCAGACCAGCAGTGACTGGCATGGGAGGCTTTGGACTCCCTGCTGTGGCACTGGAACCTTTCTTGTTGGCAATACAAGGCACCTTTAAAGGGTTCGCACTGAGAAACTACACAAACTTAGGATTTGGGGAATGAGGAGTTAGGAGTCAGCAGGATGAAAGGCAGTGGCAATAGTTAGGAAACCCATGTGGGACTTTAGACTAGAGCTGGTTAGGGCCAGATAGGGGTCCGAGTCTTAAAGACGAGCCATATGGGAAATGTTAAAAGAAGTGCATGGATTTGCCGTAAATTGAGTCAGGGAGAGCCACGAAGGGGAGCCTCCCGGGAGGACTCTGATTCCCAGCTTGGCCATTCCAGGTGGCCTCCCTGGGAATCATGAGAAAAGCCGCCTGGCACAGGCATCTGACCTCCTCTCACTGCACAAGGGGGAGGAGAGTCAGCCCAAGGCGGATGCCCGTGAAGCTGCGGTCAGACACAGCTCCTCTCTCATCCTTTGTACCGAACCTGACGCCAGCTCTCCCCCCACAGCACGCTCTCCTCGGCTTGCTTCCATAATCCCTCACAACGGCCAGACAGATCCCAGGGACCGTACTCTAAGTTATGGGGGAGTACCTGATTGCAATCCGGGGTCAGGAACAGCTCAGAATGCAGCTCTTCAGTCAGGACAGCTTCTTGGCCATGCTCCTAAGCATGCCTCTCTCCCTGGCTCTCTGCCTCTCTGCTCTCATCTCCAGCCTCTTGGGGCACCCTGGCCTCTGCCCTGCTTCAGCAAGTGTTACAAAGCGCTTTAGCTCCACCAAGTGACTGGGCACCCAAACCCTGAAGGCACTTGGCTTTCTTGCTCCTGGGCCAGGAAGTCCACCACAGGATCTCACACAGTTTCCCGATTCTGCTTTGACTGGTTCTCGAGCACTGCTTCTCACCATCTCACACCGTCTCCGGTCTTCTTCTCTCTCTCTCTCCCTCTGTTTCCTGGGTCTAGGAGTTTCTCAGCACAGGGATCTGAGGGCTAAAGAATGTTGGTCGCAGTGAGGTCCCTCTGTCAGCCTCTGGAATGGCTCCTTTTAAGGCTAGCAGGGCAGCAAAACTGACCAGTCCCCTCATCCGGGCGCCATACACTTTATTTGTAGGATCCCACCCTCACACTCAACTTCAACTCCTGTGGTAGGCCATCAGCACTTCATTTGCAAAGTTCCACCCATTTAGCAGGAGCTGTAAGACCATGATGGGAAAGGTCCTATATAAGGGGCACCCTTGAGTGGGTAGACCATGAGTTCAGTTTGATGAGTGCCTGTGTTAGGTAAAGCCAGAAAGAATCTGAATGTTTGGGGTTTGGAGCTGAAGGGAGAAATCCCGAGTGGAAATGCATGGGTCTTCTATGTAAACCCTGGCCTAAAATCCTCAGGACAGGCAAAATGAAAAAGAGGAGGCAGCAAGGGGGTGGGTGGGAGTGAGGGGAGGGAAAAGAAGATTTTGTGGCCACAACTGTGCCCTCCCCCTTTTCTCTTTTTGTGCACCCACCATGGCCTTTAATAAATTACTAAACCCATAGCCCAAATCACTGTATGCCGAAAACCCAACTTACTCCCGGAGGCGGGGGAATGCTGACTGCATTCAGATGCTCACAGGAGAAGGGGAGGATTCTTCTTTCATCCTTCTGAGGCAGTCAAGCAAAACAAAGAACAGATACTGAGTTTCAGTTTCCATGTCAAAACAGATTGAATGCATGCTGCTACCTCTCTGCTGGGGCCAGTGTCTAACAGAGATAATCACAGGGTGGAAATCCCCGACTGGGAGCCTGGTAGGCAAGTTCCCACAGCCAGACTGTCATCCTTGATCGAGTAAGGCAGGTGGTAGGCAGGGATCAGGTCTGAAATAACACTCCTCTGGTGTCTTGACCCATGAGCGAAAGATGTGACAGTCAGCGTCCATAAAGGTCTATTGATAGCCTTCACCATACACAGCACAACACGGCAGGAAGACAGCGGCAGTCATACCTGTCAATAAATATCCTGGATGGAAGCAGGGTAATTGTGCCAGTCAAGACACGGAGAGGGGCAGAGTGAATGGGGAAATGTTGGATCTCTCGGGGGAGAGATGGACCTCCTCCTTGGCTCCGAGCGAGAAAGAATTCACTCTGAAGCCTGCTTTGTGATCCAGGTGGGTTTACAGAGAATAGAAGCAGTTTCAGGCTCTACAGTAAATGGAACACCAGCCAGACAGAGTCCGCGGCACAGTTGCGGGACTGTGGCCTGGCTGCTCCAGACTGCAGCCCAGCTGTGCTACATTGTGTAGCAGCTGCTGGGAAAGAGAGACCAGAGCAAAACCTCTGGCCTTTTCAGGGCCCTGTTTGGAGGTGTGGTCAACAATACTGGTCAACCTCATTGGCTGAATCTAATTCACCTGGCTTAGATGGGCCAATCCAGATGTAACGCCCACCTAGGTGTACCACCCCTTCCTGGCCAGAAGTTCGAACCTCTGAGCATATGCACTGGATGCCCCAGTCCCTAGGCTAGCTACCTAACAAAAACAGAACCCATCAATGTGCTATCTACAAGAGATCCCTCCAAGATAGAGAGACAGAAATAGACACACACAAAAAATCAAAGAATGACCATATTTGTTTCTGACAAAATAGACTTTTAGGCAAAAGCCAGTATACAAGACAAGGAAATGCATCATATAATGATTTAAGGGTCAATTGGATACATGTGTGCAGCCATAATAAATATTTATGCACCCAAGGGAAGAACCTGACAGTACATACTTGAACTGCATCAGAATTGAAGAAAGAAATAGACAACTCTAACATAATTGCTGGAGATTTTAATGCACCACTTTTGGTGAGGGACAGACAACTAGAAAGAAACTCGACAAAGACACACAAGAACTAAACAGCACAAGCAGCCAACGTGAAACAGACGCAGACTGAGCACACCAACCCAGCAACTGCACAATGTCCGGTCTTCTCCGGCTCTTGCGGAACAGTGTGCAGAATAGACACGTTAGGCCCCCAGGCAAGCCTCAATATGCTTGAAAGCATCAAAAGATCACAAGGCTCAACCCAGACTCCACCGCTATTCTTTCAGGAAGTGGGAAAATGAATGACTAACGTTATCTGGTGAGGGAAGAGACTCAGGATAAACAAAGAACTTCTCAAGCAGAAAAGCAAAGAGGAGGCCTCTCACTGCCTGACCTCAAAACCTATGACATAATCACAGTAACAAGAACACCCTGGGTACTAACCACGTCAGCAGTAGGTGCTTAGACTAAGAGAAAAGAAGAGAAGCCCCAGACATAAATGCATCCACCTACAGACAACTGATCTTCAACAAAGGGCCCCAAGCAGTAAATAGCAAAGAGACACTGGTGCTGGATCTCCCTCTACAGAAGAATGAAGCAGGGACCAAACCTCACCCCACGTACAAGCACAAGCTCAAGACTGATCAGGCCTAAATGTAAATTTCAGAGCTATAAAGATCATCAGGGAGAAAACAGGGACAAATATAAGGGCCCTCTTATAAGACACAGGCATACTTTCAAGCATATTTGTGCATTTGTTGCCATCATCATTTTCAAAACATTTTCTTTCTACTTGAGCCCTTGGTATCAGCTTCTCATTTTCCCCCTCTCTCCCCCACCCTTTCTCTATGATGAACCCCTGATAATTTATAAAATTTTTTTTTTCATGTCTTACACTGACCAATGTCTCCCTTTACCCACTTTTCTGTTGTCCATTACCCTGGGAGGGCGTTATATGTAGATCATTGTGATCGGTTCCCCCTTCCAACCCCACCGTCCCCCATCCTCCTGGATAAAGCTCCTTCTTACACACGTATAAGTATCTTTGGATTTGTTTCTCTAGGCAACTCAGCCTAACCCAGGGATACTGGCCTCTGTGTTAGGTTGTGTTTTCCAGAGAAACAATGCTAGAAAATCAGAAACTGACAATAAGAACAAAGGGACACGTACAGACCAGACACCAATTCTACTCAAACTATTTCAGAATACAGAAAAGGATGGAAAACTCCTAACTTCGTTTTATGAAGTAGACATAACCTTGCTACCAAAATCAGGCAAAGGCATCGCTGAAGACGAAAATGATGGACTGTGATGGTTAGCTTTTGTGTCGACTTGTTGCATCTGTGGGAGGGTATGTGTGGAGTCCAACCTCTCAGTCAGGACATAGTCTAATGTTGTCTTCTTGGGGGTGTGGGTTATTTATAAGAGATGCTATGGAGAACTGGCCTCTCTCTTGTCCCTCTTCTCCTTTCTGCTTGCATGATCTGGCTTCTGGGGCTGACCGTTCATGTGGCCTGAC